TTGATAACATTACCAAGTTTTAATTTGCCTTGTATTCAAATATAAAGCAAATTCAAATGTGCTATGATTTTAACAAGTGACAACGTGAGAGAGAGAGAGAAAGTATTTGACCCTGATGCTAGCAACATTCTCCTTGGAGTAGGGTGTATTACTGGACATTTAGAGAAGATTGTAAATATAACCCTTATTCACTGTCTCGAATGCATATATAGTCATTAGTGTAAAAGATCTGTTTAATGATTTTCAACATGAAGTGTCAACCTGTAAACAAAACACAAAAAAAAATCATCATTTTTACACAACCCTGACAAGGTCAAGAAAAAGTACAGCTGGCCTGGGAGGTGGGTGAGGAAGAAGAAAAGGACCAGGAGGAGCACCCTCACCTTAGAGCCAGCAGAGCCAAGGGACACTGTCTGAAACTGCTGGAACAAGTAATAAATGTGTCGTGCAAAGTTTAAAAGGCAAGCAGTAAAAAATACAAGGGGGGGAGCTAAGAAACCAAGAAGATTGGAAAAATGAAGAATTAGAAGAGCGAAAGAGTGTCATCTTCCTTATCGTGCTATCAATATGAAAAGTCTAAAGTGGCACCCACAAATAACACCATAATCATAACATTTGGAATTATGACAGCAGCCACCTGAAGACAGTACATCCTTAAAAAGCTTCCACCTGGTATATGGGACTTGGTCGGGTAAAGCAGGACTCAGATAGTTGTTTTACTTCTTTTTAAAATTGTGATAAGCTTAGTTTGTACGATTTGGTTCCTTGTCGTGGGTATACATTACTTTGATTTGGGGATTCTTGAGTACCCGTCACAGGGAAAGTGTCTTGTGACCCACCAGATACTTAGCGGAGGCACCAGCCTTACCGCAGGCACCCCTGCAGAATCAGGTGATGCCACACAGGGCCCTTCCCAAGGACGCGTTTGCTAAGTTGGGAGAGAGGAAGGACAGGGCAGAAAATCGCAATTTGCTTTTCAACAGGAACGTTCACGGCATATTTGGCCAATTGATTGAAACTGTTGGTCTGTCACCCTCAGAGAGGTGAATGATGAGGAGAGTTTAGGACTTGGGGGCTTGGAGACTTGACTTGGTTCCCTTAGATGAGGAATATTCTAAGCAGGCAGATAGAATTACTGACAGCTTGGAGCTGTAAGAATCCTTAGAGAGACTCTATCCAACCCTTTCACTTTAGAAACAACGGAAGCTTGGTAGTAGCAGAACTGGGGCTCAGATCCAGTCCTTCTTATTCCAAGTTTAGTGCTAGATCAAAGGAATTCCAGGCTAAGACACCCCTTGATGCCAGACACCGACACTTATCACATGCCTACCACGGACAGGCACTGCACTGCCCACTCGATCTTATTTAATCTCATCTTCATAGCAGTCATATGAAGCAGGCTTTGCCTGTGCTAAATCTGAGCAAACTAAGATTTAAGGATTCCAAGGCCTTTAATTGGACAGACATGAAAGAGTCTGTGCAACCTCTGGGCTCATGACCCCTGACTCTGACCCTTAGCTTGAGCCCTGCTGGCTGTGACGAGGGCACACATTCCTCATCTGGGGAGCAGAGGCAAAACCAATGACCATTTCATATTTGATCAGCAGCACGATCCCCTAATAAGGGAAACATGGACCTGGCACCTCAGAAGCAGAGCGCTTTGATCTGCTTCTCCAGTTTCTTACAACCACGCGGGGAAGGCCTGTGCGCTGCTGGCCTGCCCTTCTTAATTAGAAAGGACCCTGGGAAGCTTTGCCCAGCCCCAAGCCATCCTGAGCAAGATAAACAGGAAGTGGAAGAGAGGGGAGGAGAGAGAGATTCTCACTGACTTTAAAAGATTTATACCGACAATTTCCCAAGGAGCTTGTGAGATATATTTTCCACTCTTTTTGGTGGTGGGAAGCAGCTGATAGAGAGATAGCGCTCAAGCCTAGAGTTCCGTTGAGAGTGAAAACACTTTAAGCTCAGTCTCTTATTGATAGTCCAGTTGCAGAAAATAAAATTCATGCGACCATCAACTCACATATTGGAACTGGAAAAGCAATCTGTCTTCCAGTCAGCTGGGATGGAGTCCCAGGAGTGGGCTGCTGAATACGGGAACAGGGGAGGAGCGGAAACACGGGACGCGCCCCGGGCCCCGCACCCCGACTCCCCTGGCTTGTCTTTGAGGCTCCCGTGAGTGTGCACACGTGCCTCGCTGCCATCTTTCTCAGGAGAAGAAGGGAGCCCCCTCCAGTGCCCACATGCATCCCTGCAATCGCTCAGAAAGCTTCCGGCTTGAAAACATCAGTGAAAGGCCTCGGACCAGGACACAGTCACAGCGCCCTTATGTGTAAGTGATCAGGACCCAGAACTTACTTCTCTCAGACCACACCCCCAGAGAGTCTGCAGCTAGCTCTGCCCAGAGGTACTTCCAGGACCCAGCCTGCTCTGGAAAGACACCCACTGACCTCACAGGGGCCCCAGGCCCATCCAGCACGCCACCTTGGCTTTTAGCCGCAGCATCCTCCACGTTTTGGGCTTGCACTTGGTTCCTTCCCTGCCCTAGGGTAGACTGGTGGTGCAGGATGGGTTGGGTCACCAAGGCCCCCTCCTCCCCCACACACTGCACCCATCTCCTGGAGCACCTCTCCGATGGGGCCCCACTCCTGCTCCAAGGACCTGGTGCCACTGCCCATGGAGCAAAGCTGGACCCCTTCAGCCAGGGATACAGTGCCCTTCAGCCTGGTCCCACCTCCTGCCGCCTGTCCCTCCCCTGTCCCCACCGTTCCACACATCCCACTCTGCCTTTATGTCTTACTCTTCTACTTTGCCCATATCTTTGTTTTTTCTCCCATAAGATGAGACTCAGAGATCTTCTATATGGACCTTCCCACCTGGACCTTGTGTCCCCTTCTGGGGCCTCCAAAGGGCTTCACCTGGCTTTGTACCTAGCAGAGGGTGCAAAGCCAAAATACACAGCCAGTGTGATACATCCCTTCACCCTTACTGGACCTGGAGTTCCTTAAAGGCCACACCTGTGTGTGTGTCTCCAGGATAAATTCAGGACTTGGATACTTGCTCAAGAAGGGCCTCCACTGGAATTTGAAAGCAGGAAGGAGCAAGCGCAGAGGGGGTGAACACGGCTTTGGCCCAGCGCCCACCTGCCCTATTCTCCCTTCCTGCCCCTCTGACTTACTGAGCCCTAGATGCCCTGATCGTATATCAGGCCAAGGGACATGGTAGACTCCTTAGAAAGATGCAAGGGACAGAGAACGGCTGAGGAGTCCAGAGACTGGAGTCCGGCCTTGACTTTCAAGCAGAGACTTCGGACATGTCATTTCTCCATCTGGGTCCCAGCCTGCTTCTGTGGGAGAGCCGGGGATGGTGTTAGATGACTTTCCCAATTCTGAGTCTCTGATTCGAATCCTTTCCTGTCCTCTGCCTGTAACAAGAACATGTCCTCCCCTGCTGGATGGGGTCACAGCATGGATTTTTTCCTGGGGCTGTGGTGCACTTTCTAGATGCCCGCGTGCCACACTGCAGCTCCCCCAAAAGCACAGAGGGCTCTGTTCCTCGCTCCCCCTTGCCCGGACCAGTTCACACATAGCCCTGCGCTCCCCGCATCCCAATTTTATGTCGCTTATGCCTGCATTCTGAATGTTGCAAATCTTTGCTTCCTGGCACGACACCATCTCCAGGGGAGAATCTGTGCTTCCACTGGGAATCCCTCTCTCCCTGTGTCTTCCTGCATCGTGGACGACTGGGTGATTTGCTTCTTTGTCAAGTGGGGTGTCAGCAGAGGGAGGGCCTTCCAAAGTGAATGAAATGCAATATGCTGGAAATGGGATTTTACCAGCAGAGCTTGGGCAGAGAGGGAAAGACATAATGTCATGGCTCTGCATGGGCCGGAGTGGCTCAGGAAGACGGAGCGCTCAATAGTTAGCTCCACCGGGGATGTTGGGGGCTTGCTGGGACAGGTTTCTGCCGCAGGGGGAGCGACACCAAAGGCCCCACAGTCAAATGCAGAAGTGCAGCGAGTAAATGCATGCTCCAGGGTACCTGGAACTGTGAAACGGGCTGTGCTTTCAGCAGATGGGAGCCCGTGGGTGAAGGTTTCTGTGGGTCATTTGGTCTTTGCCATTGAGTCAGGGCTGGCCTGCCCCGGGGAATCTCCCACAAGCGGGCACCGGGAGGTTTGTCGGGCTTTCTTTGCGGAGACTGGCTGCATTCTTGCGTGGCTCCTGGGGTCCAGGGCTGAAACGGATCTTCAGCAGTGACCAAGTTCAGCCACCCATTCTCCCAATTGGTGGAGGAGGAAACTGAAACCCAGGGAAGGCCATGCTTTTCTCAAGACCACTCAGCTGGGAAGTGAGGGGGCAAGGATCCTTCAATATCGGTATTTTTATTCCTGTTCTACAGACAAGAACCCTAAAGTTCAAGGACACAAGGCGAGGAGTCAGGGGAGCCTGAGGGCAGGACCTTGGACTACCTGAATTTTTTTCTTTTTTCTTTTTGAATCGGAGTCTCACTCTGTCACCCAGGTTGGAGTTCCATGGCATGCTCATGGCCACCACAGCCTTGATCTGCTGGACTCAGGCGATCCTTCCGCCCCAACCTTCCAAGGAGCTGGAACCACAGGCATGTGCCACCATGTCCGGCTGATTTTTTGATTTATTGAAGAGACGAGGTCTTGCCGAGTATCCCAGGCTGGGTTTGAACTCCTGAACTCAGGCAATTCTCTCGCCTCTGCCTCCCAAAATGCTGGGATGGTAGGTGTGAGCCACTGTGCCCGGCATCCTGCCTGATTAAAGTCCACGTCTTCAACTGCCATCCACCTGCATTGGGCTACATCATAATGGGAAAGCTAGGGGAGAAGGAAGGGGACTGGGAGTTCAGAGGCAAGAACGGGCCCACCCAGTACCCCCGATGTGGACGCTGCTGGCCCCTGTGTCCTGCCACTCAGTGGCCGCATCTCTGCTGGCCACATCTGCAGACTTACCCTCCCTCATCTCTTGCAGGCGCCTTCCTCCTGCTCAACACCTCGGCGGACTCCAAGCACACCATCCTGAGCCCCTGGATGCGCAGCAGCAGTGAGCGCTGTACCCTGGCCGTGTCGGTGCACCGGCACCCGCAACCCTCAGGGAAGTACGCTGCCCAGCTGCTACCCCACAATGAAGCTGGCCGTGAGATCCTGCTGACGCCCACGCCGGGGAAGCATGGGTAAGTCCCTCCCACGTCCAGAATGACCACAGGCAGGGGCTTGGCTTTTGGCTGCTCCTCCAGAGTCCATTGACCCCCTGGAGGGTGTCTCAGGTGGGTCCTGTGGACCGTCCTGGCTGGTGGTCCTTCCAGGGGCCTCAAGGCCAGCTGACAGAGTGAGAGTTTATGAGTAGGTGTTAAAGATGTTCATTGCCCAAAGCTCATTTGGAGCCAAGAAGAAAACAGCCCAAGGGGGGTTCAAAGACCAAAATGGATGTGACTTAATATGCAGGAAACTGGAATTTGCCAGCAGAACCTGGGCATGAAGGGAAAGCACAAAGCACTGTGGCTATTCCAGCAGGGCCTGAGGGGGCTTGCGACCCCAAGGCAGAGTCTGGCGGGGTAGTGCATGGCATCCACTCCGTGGAGGCTGGAACAGAGCATTGTCCTGGACCCGCCGATGCAGCTTTGAGGTCCTCAGAGCTTTCTGGAGACACTCACTTGCTCTCTCAGTGACCCTCCAGGCCTCTACAAGCAGGGACATTGGAAAGCAAACTCGCACTAGGGTGTCTCTACGCCTGTCCTCCCATATTAAGTGTAAACACCATCCTGCAAGGGCTCCAGGTCTGCTTAATCCATCCACAAGGGGAGAAGTCCTTCTCTGGGATGCATTTGCGGGAGAAAGGTACCCAGTGTCTACATGTGTTTGGACCTGCTTCCTTCTGGGAAACTGTCTTCTCAGAGGCTGTGTGGCCTCCTCAGTGACTTCTTGGATGTATCCTCCCTTCCTTCCCCCTCCACCACTAGGCTGTCTGTACTTAGTTGTGCTTGAAAGAATGCCAAGCTGTGCAGTTCTCACAGGGGTGAGACCTTGGCGTCAGGAGGGATACTCCCGTCATTCCTAAACATATGTCTGTCTTCTGCCTCTCAAGGGGCTGTTTGGGTCTCTGCCACCAAAGCCCCTTGCTTTTCCTCCAGTTATGGAGTGGTGGTGTCCAGGCTGTTCCCCGTGGGAGACCAGCTGTCCTCAGGCGCCAAGCCTCCCTCCAATTCAGCCTCCCCATCCGGCACACAGCCAGATGGGAGGGCCTGTCCTCAGACAGGCTGTGCACCATCCTGCAGGCATCTGCCCAGCCTCGGAGCTGCTGCTTCCACCTCAGGCTCTCAACTCTCCTTCCCTCCTGGCCCGGCAGAGCCCGGGAGTGCTGCTTGGGCTGCTGAGCCCAAGAGTGTGAGAGGAAGGGGCCAAAGGGGCCGAGGGCATGGCACCTCCCATGTGGCAGTGTGCGTTTCCTGCAGGGCACAGTCAGGACAAGAGCTCCCCGGTGTGACCAGCCACAGGGCGTGCTCATAACTACCTGTGAAGGCCCATTTACCAGATGAGAAGTGGAGGCAGAGAAAGACAGGAACCAGACTCTGGGTCTCTCTTCTCCTGGTTCATGCTCTTTCCAGGAAACCCAAAGCTTCTCAGCAGGAGCATGAGGAGAGGACTGAGAGGCAGAAGGGGAAGGCAAAGGAAGCTTGCCATAAAGATTTGGGTTCTTTGGTCCCCTGAGACAGAGGAGTCCGGGAACGCGAGGTCAGTGCCTCCAAGGCAGCTTCCCTCAGTGTGGTGGACAAGGGCTGTGGGAAGGTCACAGGCCTCTCCTTCAGGCTGCAATGGCCTCCATCTCCACTTCCACCCACTGGCCAGGGGTGATGCTCTGCCCTCCAGAAGGTGGGCACTGGGGCAGGAGGGAGGGAGCAGGACCCCACTGGGCGAATCCAGTGCCTTGCAGGCTTTGGTGGGGCAGCTCCTGCGTCTCCAGGGCCCGGGCTTCCAGCCTCCCTGTATAGAGATATTCTCCTGCAGCCCTGGTAGAGCCTGGAGGGGCTTAGTGATGAGCGAATATGTCTCCAGAGTTCAGTTAGAGGCACCTGGACCGGCCTCCCTGCCTCCACAAGGTCGCCACAGTGGGGCGGAAAGTGGCGGGGAAGGTTGTCAGCAGGCTGTCCACTCCCCGTGGGCTTCTCTCGGGGCACCCTGGTCAGCTGCACTGTGTGGGGCACTTGCTCAGCAGACCAGAGCACCGTGGGCATGTGTTTACCACTGGGCCAGGGCCTGTCAGCATGGGCACCACTCACATTCGTGCAGAACCATGCTCTCCGTGGGGTACTTATCATGTGTGGTGTCTTCGGCGTCCCAGCCCTCTGCCTAACTAGATGCCAGGTGCCCCCTTCCAGTTATGCCAATCAAAAATGCCTCTAGACATTACCAGATGCCCCCTGGGACAAAGGCACCCCCACTGAGAAATGTCGAATTAGAGCTCAGAGCCAGGTGGAACCATGGGGTACTAGGAGGAGAGGGCCCCACTACAGTACCATCACTGCTGGTCAGGGTGTCTCGAGTCTGTGCTTGTGTATCTGTGCCACTCGCTAGGGCAAGGCCCTGCAAGGCCGTCCCTGACCCTGACTGACTATAGCCATGGCTAGCATTTATTTAGCACTTTCTGGACCCTCCAACCTGGTCCTACTGTGTGCTTTACAGACATCTTTTACATTTAACAGTCACGGTCACAGCCACACGGTGGATTAGATTTTTATTATTACTGCCCATTTTACAGATGAGGAAACTCCATGGGTTCAAACAACCTGCCTAAGATTGTGGGCTACAGGGAAGGAGGGGTCTGACATGGCCAGCCTGACTTCAGACTATTCTTACCTGCTGCTGTAAGAGCTCACCAGGCCAAGGCAGTGCAGCAGAAGCGTCTTAATGCTGTGGATTGAAGTGCTGAATTTAAGTCCCAACTCACCATCCCATCAGGTGCTCAGCAAACAATCATGGACTGGGCGCTTCCTGTGTTAGGGCCCTAGCATGCCAGGTGCACTAAAGAACAACCCCGCCCACCAAGAGAGTTCCATGAACGAGCTCTATGGCATCAGACAAATCTCATCCCACTCAAGCCTCAGTTTCCCTACAAAGTGGGCTGATGGTGATGGTGCCAGCCACGCCCATGTGCTGTTGTGAGGTCACCGTGATAAAGGGTGAAGGGCTTTGCGCACTGAGTGTGATGCCCATGGAAGGGCCGATACTGAATATCCTTGTCTGCTCTGCTCCAAGCGGGGCCAACGGGGACTGAGATTAGGGGTCTCTACAGCCTCAGGAACCGTGCGTTTGAGATCCTAAGCCATCTGCCTCCCTGGCAGTTCCTTTCCATGAGAGAGATGGCATCAGTGACCGGTGCTCAGATCGGCAGGGGATGCGGTGACACCCTGGTGATGGTGCCCGTGATGACTGCGGAGGGGGCCGGCTTCCTTTCATAACATGAGATGGTAGCTTGGGAGCCGGGATTGGAGAGCAACATCAGGGCTTGTAGTCACAGGGGAGGAAGTTGTGATAATAACGTCGGCTGGGGAGAGCCTGACAGAGAGCAGTGGGCTGAGGAATGACACGTCAGACACGTCCCCTGGAAACCACCAAGCCGTGAGCACACAGCGATGGTCGTGTCAGGGGTGTGGGGGGAACAGCAGCCTGTGTGGAGGCCCTTGGGACCTTGGAGGCAGGAAAAGGCAGTCAGAGGTCACAGCAGCTGCCTGCTCCACCAGTCACCTGGAGAGCAGAGGCATGTGTGAGCTCTGATGAATCGTGGATGGTGGGTGCCACAGCTGCCCAGGCTGCCTGGCTTTGACCGGGCCTCGCCGGGGACAGACAGATGAGTGCCCAGCCTGCTCACCTGCCCAGCCAGGATGACCACAGAAGCAAGGCAGCAGGGAGATCAGGACTGTCCAGCAGCCCAGGCTCAAGGTCCACGGAGCCCAACAGGCATGGGATGTCTTAGCTAGAGATTAGTGGCCGCAGAGACCCCGTGGCCTGAATGAACAGGAGAGTGACTCGTTAAATGGTGAGTGGTGAAATGGTGTGAGGGAAATGGCTCACGCCTGCCTGCCGGCAATGGGTACTAGTCCATGCCAGATCCTTTTCAGCTCCCACGTTCATTTAACAACCACAGATCGAGAGACGGTCATGTCATAGGTGCTGAAGACGACAAAGTCATGGCTTTCAGGGATGGTCTAGTCCTGTGGGGAAGACACGAGTAAGACAGCTGTTTTAAAATGCTAACAGGCTGAGCTGCGGTCTCCAGTGGCAGAGCCCACCACACCCCACGCTGCCGTGCTGTAGAGACAGAGGGTGCCTCCCACCCACTGCACCGCACACTGCTGTGTCGTAGGGATGGAGGGGGCCTCCCACGCACCGCACCCCAGGCTGCCATGTTGCAAAGAGATCGATCTGCAATTCTGAAATTGGCTGTGGGACATTGGTGCCCTCCAGGACGCGGGAGCACAAGCCCGAGGCCGGCGACGTGCCGGGCTGCATGAGAGACTCTCGGGGCTCCCGCCCAGAAGCCCATCTCCAGTCCTTTCTCTCCAAGCACGCGGCTCCTCCTGCAGCCGCGGGTGTCTGGGGACTTTATTATGTGTGACCTGAACTGCACATTGTGCAGAGGGAGGAATTGGAGCCCGGGGGGATGGAGGTTGCCAATCATTTGAATTGCTGGTACTTGAAAAGATGGCTTAAATTTGAAGGATTCGGGGCTGCTCAGGCCTGAGCCAAGATAAGATGTCGGGGCATTTCAAGGTGCAAACAAGCCTCCTTTCCGAGCGAGGCGCAGAACTGAAATTCTCCTCGTGCAAAGCCTCCCGTCTCCTCAGGCCCTCAACCCCAGACTCCAGGATGCTTGGGCTCACTCTCCCTGGCCCCTGTCAGTTTCCTGGTGGGGAAGCTGGAGCCCAGGATGCAGCATATTGTGCCGAAGCTCTGACTTCAGGGTTCTGGAGCCCCAGGCCTGACTGCCATGTCTGCCCTCAGAGACCCCGGCCATCCCCTAGCTGCACAGCTGCACCAGCACATCGGGAAGCCTCTGACTCACTACCGTTAGGTTAAAACCCTGAAGCCCCTTGCTGGGGGCAGTGACTCAGGCCTGTCATCCCAGCACTTTGGGAGGTGGAGATGAGAGGATTGCCTGAGTCACGGGTTCGAGACC